CCCCCAAAACCCTGCGCCAGGTCAGGATAGCAGCCAGAGCCCACGCCACGGCCAGGGGGCCACGTCAGGGCTAGGGCCAGCAGGAGGTCAGGGCCAGAGGCCACGTCCGAAAGCAGCGGTAGGACTGGCCACGGGCACGCCCCAAACCTGGCGCCACAGCAGCCAGCGTCAGGGGCCAAGGGCGCCAACCAGGGTCAGGCATCGGCTTCTGGCAACGCTGACTGGGCTTCTCGCAGTGCTCACTTTGCTCCGTTTCCTTTTTTGCGGTTAGCTTTCTTGTCTGGGACATTCCACGCTTGGTTGGGGCATGGTTTCCCGGAAGGCGATGCGTGCGCAATGCGCAGTCGGCCAAACGCGAGTCTGGACCACACAACGGTGCGGCATACTGGGCAACGGTGTGCGTGACGTCGTATCGCTGCGGCGACCACCCCATCTTGGACATGAAACTGATTGCCACACACCGTTCGATGGTCCACGCACCCAGTGTGGATCGCACTAGACACATGGGTTTTGCACCATGGACAACAATATCTATGTTTTTTCATTGCCACTTGACCGTCGTGGACACGGAAACGTTTCCCACAGGCGCCGCATTGATCTACCTTGCCGGTGCATACGGTGCTGCGGACGTGCGTGTTGCAACGCGGGCAAACGTAGTGGTATAAGTGGTTTGGAGCACTGATCACCCCATCTTTGACATGAAACTGATTGCCACACACCGTTCGATGGTCCACGCACCCCGTGTGGATCGCACTCGACACATGGGTTTTGCACCATGGACAACAATATTTGTATTTTTTCATTGCCATTTGACCGCCGCAGCACTTTCCGCGTCCCAGGTTTCCCATTTCCCAGTATCCAGTTCCCTGCCTCCAGTTCCCTGCTTCCAATTCCCTGCCTCCAATTCCCTGGTCCCAGTTCCGTCCACGCTTCCAGTTCCCTGCCTCCAGTTCCCTGCTTCCAGTTCCCTGCCTCCAGTTCCCTCCTTCCGGGTCGCTGCCTCCAGTTCCCTGGAGCCAGTTCCCTGCGTCCAGTTCCCCTCCAGTTCCCTTCAGCCAGACCCCTGCCTCAGTCCCTTTGCACACTCCCCTGCCCACTTTCCCTGTCCCCGGTTTCCCCCTCCTTCCAGGGTCCCTGCCTCCAGTTCCCTGGAGCCAGTTCCCTGCGTCCAGTTCCCTGCCTCCAGTTCCCTTCCTGCCCAGTTCCCTTTGCCCACTCCCCTGCCCACTTTCCCTGTCCCCGGTTTCCCATTTCCCAGTCTCCAGTTCCCTGCCTCCAGTTCCCTGCACCCGGTTCCCTGCCTCCAATTCCCTGGTCCCAGTTCCCTGCGTCCACGCTTCCAGTTCCCTGCCTCCAGTTCCCTGCTTCCAGTTCCCTGCCTCAAGGTCCCTGGAGCCAGTTCCCTGCGTCCAGTGTCCTCTGCCCAGTTCACTGCTCAGGTGCCCTGTTTCGCATTTCCCCTGTCTCCAGTTCCATTCCGCCAGTTTCCTGCCACTGACCGACTCACAGTAAAACAGTCCCCAAAATTCGCCCACGCCACACATCGCATCTCCTCCTCCTCCAGTTCAATTTTACACGTTCCCTGCCTCAAATTTCCTTTCCCCGTCCACTGCCTCAACGTCTCTTCGCATTTCTCTGCATGACAAACCTTCACTTGACTAACAATGTAACACGTGCTTCTAAAAAAATGCTCGCAGAAACAATAATTTTTCCCTCTGCCACTTTCACTTGCTTTCAATATGTCCAAAGAACTCCAGACAACCCGCTTCCACATTCTCTGTGCACTGTTGCATGTGCGAGTTGATCTAAAATTTCCTTTCTCCACGCTCGATCATTTTCGCCACAATAAAATTATTTACCCAACATTTCGCCTTCCTGCGTTCTATCTTTCGCCGAAGTATGTTGCCCTTATGTGTGCCATGTGTCTGTGTTGTGTTTGTGTTCACGTCACTCCTTCTTTCTTTACTGGCAAACACGAAATTAGAACTTCACTGTCTGTCAGCATGTGTCTTTTACTTAGCTGTTGACACCCTGTGCGTCTGTTTTGTTTCTCCTGGGAGTCAGCAAGAATCAAACATGCAAAATCACAGTAGCAGCCAGTCACTCAAACTTACTCATAATGGGCTAGGGGCCGAATGTGGCAGGGTCAACTTTCACCGATCTTGAGCTGAACTTTCGCCAAAATTTCGCCTTTTGCGGGGTGCAGTTTTGTAGCCAAGCCACCCCGACCCAAAACAGGAACAAGAAAAGTAGTCGTCTCTCTCTGCCCTATTCCCCCTCGACCATCGCGCCTACGTCTGACCCCCTTCCCTGCCTCCTCCACTCCTACACGCGGCGACCGAACCAGACGCTGCGCCCTCCCTGCTTTCTTCATCGCCCCAGCGACCGAAACAGACGCTGGGCCCTGTGCCTTCCCCTTTCCCTCTCCTCCTCCCGCTTGCATACGCGACCGCCCCTGTCCCTCCCCCTTTCTCCGCCCTTCTCCCACTCCACACCAACGACCAGACATACACGCGGCGACCGAACCAGACGCCACGCCCCCCATGCTAGCTTTCCTCCTCGACCTACCCTGCCTCGCCACAGCGACCGAAACAGACGCTGGGCCTGTCCCCTCCTCCTTTCCTTCTCCTCCCCCCGCTCGCCTCTCCATATCCCTCCCCCTCTCTGCCCTGCGTCCCCTCGACAACAACGACCACCCCTGCTCCCGTCCCTGCCTCCTCCCCTCCTAGACGCGGCGACCGAACCAGACGCCGCACCGCCCCGTGCTTTCCTCCTCAACCTCCCCTGCTTCGCCACAGCGACCGAAACAGGCGCTGGGCCCTATCCCCTGCTCCCCCCCCTCTCCCCCCCCCGCTCGCGCCTCTCCACATCCCTCCCCCTCTCTGCCCTGCCTCCCCTTCACCACAACGACCACCCCTGCTCCCGTCCCAGCCTCCTCCACTCCCAGCGACCGAACCACGCCACAGTGACCAAAACAGACGCTGGGCCCTGTCCCTGCTCCTCCCCTTCGTCTCCACCCGCTCGCGTCCCTGCCTCCTTCAATCATACACGCACCACATGCTGCCACGTCTCTCACAGCCACTAGTACCCCCTCCTGCCAACGGTTTGCCCTGAACCACGCCTCACCTTCTTAATCGCCTTTCGTCCTCCGCTCGCCCCATCCACACGCCGTAAACCTTCCCGGGGTTGGCGGCACGGGGGCGTAGCCCTTAAATCCGGGCGCCGGCCACGAAGCCCGTGCCCTGCCCGGAGGGCCTTCGGTGGTAACCGAAGGTTATATACGGGCGCGCCCCCTGCCGCCGACCCTCGTCATCAAAACGGGGGGACGACCGGTCAACTGAAGCCCCTGTAATTTACAGTGTATCGTGTGTGTGAGGTATAAAAAACACTGTGTTTTACAGGGTTTATTGCGCATATCGAAGTACGGCGCGGGGAAAAGGGAGAAATGCAAAAATGCTGTGTTTTTTTAAGGGTGGTGTCGGTAATGCGCGCCGGGCGGACAGGCTTAATCGACATTTTGTGGGCAGAGGCCCTCCAGACGACTTACATTGCCTAACATATCCTCAACATAGGCCCAAGATAGCCAACATATCCCCAACATATGCCCAACATAGCCTCCAAGATGGCTCAACATAGGGCCAACATAGGCCAACATGGGGCCAACATAGGCCCAACATAGGCCCAACCTAGGCCAACATAGGCCAACATAGGCCTAACATAGGCCAACGTAGGCCCAACATAGGCTCAACATGGGGTCCAGATGTGCGCAACATAGACCGCGTGGGCCCCACTTGGCCCAACCTAGGGCCAAGATGCGCACCAGATAGCTTAACTTTGCTCAATATAGGGCCCCGTCTCCGACGCGGACCAGTTTCCGGCACCACCCAGGGCCCAGTATGCCCCCGATAGCTTAACGTGCGCCCGACCCAGCCCTACACAGACCCAAGTGGGCCGGCGCCCGGCTGTTAGGCGTAAGCCTTGAAATCCGGGCGCCGGCCACGGGCCCGTGTCCTTGCCGGAGGCCTTCGGTTGGTAACCGAAGGTTATATACGCTCGCGCCCCCTGCCGCCGACCCCCGGTATACCCCCGGTCGACCCCCGCCCGAATCCGCCCGACAGATTTATATGTATCTTGCGCTGGATGTTCGAAAAATGTTCAAAAACATCGTTTTTTACAGTGTTTCGTGGCCTTCGGCGTCCACGACAGGGTGCCCGTGGTGTCAGTTACGCGCGCCGCGCGGACAGGCTTAATCGACATTTCGTTGGTGTTGGGCACATAAGTTGCCTAACATATCCCTAACATAGGCCCAAGATAGCCAACATATGCCCAACATAGCCTCCAAGATGGCTCAACATAGGGCCAACATAGGCCAACATGGGGCCAACATAGGCCCAACATACCAGATAGCTTAACTTTGCTCAATATAGGCCCCACCAAGTCTCAGAGAGAGAGAGAGAGAGAGAGAGAGACAGAGAGAGAGAGAGAGAGAGACACAGAGAGAGAGAGAGAGAGAGAGAGACAGAGAGACAGAGAGAGAGCGGGGAACCAGCCCTGCACATACCCAAACCCAAATAGGCCGGCGCCCGGCTGTCAGGCGTAAGCCTCATAAATCCGGGCGCCGGCCCGGTGCCCGTTCCCTTGCCGGAGGCCTTCAGTTGGTAACCGAAGGTTATATACGCTCGCGCCCCCTGCCGCCGACCCTTTTGTTGGACCCCCGGTATACCCCCGGTCGACCCATCCGGCCGACCGATTTATATGTATCTTGCGCTGGATGTTCGAAAAATGTGCAAAAACATCGTTTTTTACCGTGTTTGGTGGCCTTCGGCGTCCACAACAGGGTGCCCGTGGTGTCAGTTATGCGTGCCGCGCGGACAGGCTTAATCGACATTTCGTGGGTGTCGGGCACGTGCTAAGAGCAAAGGCGGAACATGTGCTCCAAGATGATCTGACAGAGGCCCTCAAGAGGACTCAACATAGGTCTCAGATATGGCCCACATAGCCCCAAGATGGGCCAAGATTGCCTCAAGATGTGGCAACATAGGCCCCACACAGTCTCACATAGCCGCAAGATGACCCTACCTAGCTCTCAGATATGGGAAACATAGCCCCAAGACGGGCCAAGATTGCCTCAAGATGTGGCAACATAGGCCCCACACAGTCTCAAAAAAAGAGAGAGAGAGACAGCAGCGAAGATGACCCTCCCTAAGCTCTCAGACATGGGAAACATAGCCACAAGACGGGCCACATAGGCCCCACACAGTCTCAAAAAGAGAGAGAGAGAGAGACAAAGAGAGAGAGAGAGAGACAGAGACAGCGAAGACAGATACAGAGAAGACCGAGACAGAGACAGAGAAGACAGAGACAGAGACAGACAGAGACAGAGATAGAGACAGAGACAGAGACCGACAGACAGAGAGGGGAGGGAGAGAGGAGAGAGAGAGAGAGAGAGATGGCAGGAAATGCGCAAGACGGCTCTCCCGACTTCGGCGTATACTCGGTATACGCCCGGGCGGTCAGCCTCCTTCGCGAGAAGGACGCTACCGGGACGCCCGAAGTCCCGGTCCCCGTCTTGCACAGGGAGGGGTTGTTCGGTCCCCCACCGACGGAAGATGTAGACGATGTGCACCTGGCGAGAACGAATTCGCGGACATTGCACTCTGCACGCATCGTTCACAGTTTCACAGTTTCTTGCAGTCTCACCGCTCTTGCGGCGCTCGCTGACCGGTCTTTTTTTCACTGCTACAGCTGGTTGTTGTCATGAAGTTGACCGCGTGAGCGATGCTCTGGCGGAGGCTAGAGCGAAGGCGCAAACGAAGCAAGGATCTGTGCGGTTGGACGCACACGGCGTCGAAGGTTCGAGCGCTTCTTTGGCTCTGTTTCGACCGTTTCTCCGTCGGAGTTTGCAATGCGACTCTGACAAAGTCACGCGCTGGCAGATGGTCCAACCGAACCTTTGGCTCCACAGGCCCACGAAAACGAAGTCATGGCCGAGGCCGTTCGGGAGCACACAGTTGAAACTCTGCTATCGTACAACGCATCTCTGCTCTTTTGACTCTGGAATGTCTATGAAGTGGGCGGACTATGGTTTTGCCGGGCATGAGCGATGCTCTGGCCTTCGGGTGCTGCCCTCGGATGAAATGGTGCTGCCCAGAGTGGTTCTGTGCATCAGGTTTTGGACAATGGAATTTCTATTAAGTGGGCGGACTATGGTTTTGCCGGGCATTGAGCGATGCTCTGGCCTTCGGGTTCTTGAAGTTCTTCCCAACGTGCCTTGCACTGTTCAATTGAGA